TCCACAGTGGTTGCAGTAGTTTACATTCCCTCCAACAATGTAGAAAAGTTCTTTTTTCCCCACATCCTCGCCAGCATTTCTTTTAAGAGTTTTACATTTTTTTTTTTTTGGATGATAGCCATTTTTTCTGGGGTAAGATGGTATCTCAGTGTGATTTAATTTGCATTTCTTTTCCAATTATATTAAATACATTTTTCATGTATTTGTTGGCAATTTGTACTTCTCAGAAGTTTTTGTTTATCTCAGTTGTCTTTTTGGATTGGGTCTTTTATTTTGGGGTTTAATTATTTTTTGAGTTTTTTGTATATTCTCGATATTAGTCATCTGCCTGAAGAATAACTGGCAAAATTTTTCCCACATTTTGTAGATCGTCTCCACTCTGTAAATTGTTTCTTTTGCTGAATTGAAGATTTTTAATTTGACATATACCACTTATTGATTTGTGGTATTACTTCTTGTGCAATTGGAGTTCTGTTCAGAAAGTTCTATGTCTTAAAGAGTTTTACCTATTTTATCTTCCAGCAGATTATTTCATTGTTAATATTTAGGTATTTAATTTTAGTTTACTGCATGGTGAGGTATGGGTCTAGACTAAATCTTCTATATATGATTATCGAATTCTCTCAGCACCATTTATTAAAGAGGCTACCTTTCTTTTAGTGCATGTTTTCAGCTCCTTTGTCAAAAATCAAATTCTCAACTGTGCTGGGATTGTGTTTGCTTCTTTTGTTCTGGTCCATTGATCAACATGAATGTTTTTGTGCTAGTACCATACTGTTTTAATCAGTATAGCTTTGCATTATAACTTTAAATCCAGGATTGTGATGCTTTCTTATTTACTTTGTTACCATGGATTGCTTACTATTCAGAGTCTTATCTGGATCCAGAAGAATTTCATTATTTCTCTGAGAAATGCTATTGGTATTTCAATTAATACTATGTATCATTACTGGAACTGTGGTCATTTTGAATACACTGATTCTGTCTATCTAAGAACATGGGACGTGTTTTCATTTTCTAATGTCTTCCTTGATTTCTATTTTCAAAATGATGTAATTTTCATTGACATTTCACTTCCTAGGTTAGTTTCATTTCTAAGTATTTAATTTTTCCTCAGTTCTATTGTGAATGGTATTGTTTTCCTCATTTCTTCATGAGTAAGTACACTATTAGTGTACAGGAATGCTATTCACTTTTGTATGTTCATTTTGTCTTTCTGCATTGATGAATTTGGTTACTGATCCTAGGAGTCTTTTGGTAGAATTCTCAGGTGTTTTAAGTTTAGGATCATGTTATTTGCAAATAATGATACTTTGACTTCATCCTGTTCTAAATATATCCCTTTAATCTCTTTCTCTTGCCTGATTACTCTCTCAAATGTTTTGATGACTAGACATCTACATCTTGTTCCTGATTTTAGAGGGAAAGTGTTCAGTTTTCCCCTTTAATATGATGTTTGCAGTTGACTGGTCATAAGTGGTCTTTGCCAGATTGAAGTAAGGTCCCGCTAACCTCTTTTGCTTACAAATTTCTTTTTTTTTTTTTTATCATGAATGGTTGTTGAATTTTGTCAAAGTCTTTTTGGCATCTATTGTGATATGTAAATTTTGTCCTCGTTTCTGTTTATGTGATGAATTACATTTATTGATTTGCCTGTGTTGAACCATCCTTGTTTCCCTGGAATGAAGTTTACTTGGTTATAGTGTATGATTTGTTGCATTCTGTTTGCCAATATCTGGCTGAGGATTTTTGTATCTGTGTTCATTAGAGAGATTGTCCTGTAGTTCCCTGTTTTGGTGAATCCTGTCTTGTTTTGGGATCAGGATAACACTAGCTTGTAAGAATGATTTTGAGAGTAATCCTTCCTTCTCAATATCACTGAAGTTTCAGGGATATTGATGATAGACCTTTCCTGAAGTTCTTCTACAACTAAAATGAGAATACATCAGGTCTTGGGTTTTTCTTAATTGGTATATTCTTATTACTGCCTAAGTTTTATCACCTGCTTCTGGATTATTCAAGGGTTTTAATTCTTCTTGGTTCAGTTTTGGTAATTAATATGTATCTGGAAAACTTCCCATTTCTTCTGTTATCTAATTTTTCATCATAGAGATTTGTGAAGTAGTTGCTCAAAAATTTAGAGATCTGGCTATTTCAACTGTGATTTTACTATTTTAATTTATAATTGGATTGATTTGTCTCTTTGTTTTCCCCTTTTGGTGGATAAGACTGGCAGAGTTTGTCAACTTTTTTTTCTCGAAGAACCAGCTCTTTGATTCATTGCTTCTTTGTATTTGTTTAGTCTCTGTTTCATTGACTTCTTCTCTGATATTTATAATTTGTTCCTTGTACAAGCTCCAGATTTGGATTGTTCTTGTTTATCTAACACCTTGAGGTGCATCATTACATTATTTGTTTGGGTTCACTCTGTTTTTCTGATGTGGGCATTCATTGCTATAAATGTCCCTCATAGACTGCTTTTGTTGTGTCCTTTAAACTTTGGTATGTTGTATAGTTATAATTTAATTCTAAGAACTGCTTTATTTTTTCCTTAATTTCTTCTTTGACCTATTGATTATTCAAGAGTGTGTTTTTAAATTTCTATACATTGCATAGTTTCTTTGTTTTCTTTTGCTGCTGATTTCTAGTTTTATTGCACTATAATCTGGTAATATATATGAGACAATTTTTATTCTTTTGCATTCATTTAAACATGCTTTATTAGTTAGTATGTGGTCTGCCTTGGAAAAATTACCATGTGCTATGGAAAAGAACATGTATTTTGTTGTAGGGTAGAAAACTCAGTACATATTTATTAAGTCCATTTGGTTGCAGGTTTGGTTCAACTCTGATATTTCTTTGTTGATTTTTTTGTTTCATTGATCTGTTTAATTGTCTATATGTGATAAACAATAATTGCTTTGGTCATTATCTCATCTTTTATCTCCATTTTTGCTTACTTTATGAAGTTAAGTGGAAAACAATTTGGTGTAAATATATTTATAAATGTTATCTCTTTCTGTTGAGTAGTTCCTTTAACCAATATGTAATATCTTTCCTTGCCTCTTTTGATCAGTTTTAGCTTAAAGTCCATTTTGTCTGAAAGCAGGAGAGCAAATCCTGCTTGTTTTTTGGTTCTTGTTGCATGGAATATTGTTTTCCATCCTTTGATTTTTTTTTTTTTTTTTTTTTTTTTTTTTGGTTTTTGGTTTTTCTCCGGTACCAGGAACCAAACTCACGACCTTGCGCTTGCCAGGCAGGCGCTTTTTGCCACTGAGCTAAATCCCCAGCCCCTCATCCTTTGATTTTTAGTCTTTGAGTTTCTTGTAATAAATGTGTTCCATGTATATAGCATACTGTTGAGTTTTGTTTCTTGATCCAACCCATTAATCTGTGTCTTTTCATGGGTGAACTGAGTCCATTCACATTGATGATTACAATTGATAAGTTTTGATTATTCCCATCATAATTATTTATCTGTTGCTATTTTTCTTTCTTTCCCTTCTACCCACTTGTTATCCCTGACAAAATAATTCATTGTAATGGATGTTTTGGCATTGTTGGATTCTTTGTCTTTTTCTAGGATATCCTTTACAATTTTGGGGGGAGGTTTGTTGGGTGGTCATGAATTTCTTTAGGTCTTCTTCATCTTGGAAATATCTTATTTCTTCATTAAATTTGAAAGATAATGATGCGGGATGTATCAATCTGTGTTTCAGTTGTTTTCTTTTTGGGCTTGAAACACTTCATTCCAAGCTCTCCTTCCCTTTAAGGTTTGTTTTGAGAAGTCTGCTGTGACTCTGATGGGTTTTTCTTTATAGGTGATTTGTTGCTTTTCTCTAGCAAATTTTAAGATTCTGTTCTTATGTTGGATTTTTAGTATTTTAATAGTGATATGGCATGCTTTTGTTTCTAATCATGGCTAATCTCAGTTCTGTATACCTCACTTAACTGTATGTTAACTTCTTTTTCCACATGTGGAATTTTTTTTGTTATTATTTCTATAAAATGGTTTTAATGTCCTTTGTGGTCTCTCTTTTTTTCCCATACCAGGAATCAAACTCAGGACGTTGCATTGGCCAGGCAGATGCTTGTGCCATGTGCTGTCTTTTGATTTTCCATTAATTTCAGTTACTCATATTAGTCTTTGTGTTATACAGCAGCTTCTGGATGCACTTTTCATGTGCTTTTCTGTTTTTAAGATATTGCTTATTAGTTGATCACTAAGCACAGCCCTGTCTTCTTGAACTGACACTGTATCCTCACACTAGCTGCTACTGCTGCCCATAGTTTCAATTGAACTTTTTATATCCTAGCTTTCTGGATCTTTTCTATGGATTCCCATTCTTTTCAATGATTGGCATTTATGTTTTACATCTCTTTTCTTAGCTCCACTCGATTTTTATTAGTGTCCTTTCTAGACCTGCTGATTTTTTGCTTCATGATGGTCATTATCTGTCTAGTTATATCTTCTTTGAATTCACCAACTACCTCGTTAAACTGATATTTTTCTTTTCCTTCCTTGATACTCTTTCAGATTTTTCTTCAGTGTGGCTTATGTTTTTCTTTCCCTCTATGTCCTTTCTTCAACTTTGGAGAGTTGGGAGGGTTTTTTTGTTTTGTTTTGTTTTGTTTTGTTTTTTGAGGCATTTTACTGCATCATCTTCTTTACTTCTTTGGCACAGTGCTCAGTTCTTTAAGAAGATGTCATAGAATTATTCATAACTCTCAATCAGTAATTAGCATAGAGACAAAAACAATTGTCAGCAACAACTATGTCACCTTGAATATAGTAATATAGTCAGCAAAAACAATAGTATGGAATATTGACAGACCCCCAAGAACAACTCATGAACCCCATATAACCAAAGCAAATTGGTCCATGATTTTAGTATAGATACTCAGGCAACCCAGATGTTGACCTATAGTACTGTATATGAGAACACTAATTTCTTATGGATATAGACAGCAGTACAAGAGCTCAAGCAGACTATTAGGCTAATGCAATCTCTTTACATTCTTTTTCTATATGTGGAAAATTTTTTGCTATTACTTTTGTAAAAAGATATTTTTATGTCCCTTGTGCTATCTTTTGATATTTCATTAACTCCCATTTCTCTTATATTGCTCTTATTTGTAGCATACAGCAGCTGTTGTATTTACTTTTCATGTGGCCTTCTACCAATGAATACAGGTCCCATGGTCTTCCTGGGCTGAGCTTGTGTTTCTCAGTGGATCTCTGATGATCTCTATCTAGCTCTCACCCTCTCCAAGGCTGTCTCTTACTTGGTCTCTGTGGAAGGGTAATACTTCAGTGCTTGAGTGAAACTCTCCTCTGGCTTGTTGATCTTGTCCTCAGTTAGGTTGGTCTTTTGGTTGTCACCTCTGTCCCTCTGTTGTGAGGAGACCCATGCATCAGAGCTTGCTAGGACGTCGTAGTTTGGCCGCTGCCCCATTCTTATGCAGGTAACAGATCGAGACAGCAGTGTTGGTAGGGAAGAAGGGGTGGGCCTCATTCTGCCTCTGCTGTGTGGGTAACCTCAGAAGTAGCCTGACAACTGAAGGACAGGTGGGATGGAGGCTCCTTTGTCTTCCTCTGCCCACACAAGTCACCTGTCAAATTTCTTTAGCTTCAAGTGAAAGAAAATATGGGCAAAAGATTAAGAAATGTAACAATGATTACAAAGGGAGTTGAACATCATAGAATACAGGAAATTATCAAAAAATATAATAGCATGTTCCAGAACCTTGGAACTAAAAATAAGCCTTTTAAAATGCAAAAGGTCATAAAGGAATGAACAAAAAACACAAAGATTGAATTAGAGCTTTATAAAAAATGCAGCAAGTCACCTATGAAAGATTACAAATCCAACTAATAACAGATATCTGCAGGCTCAAAGTTCCAGAAAAGAACATAGCAATGTCTTGAAAATTCTACAGGGACTAAATTGTGAACTATAATTATCTGCCTAAAATATATGGCAAATTACAAATGAAGTATACATGTATGTAGAAGATATTTTCAGATGAAAACCCAAAATCTTTATCTAACCCATCACCTTTCTTAAAATGCTTTTTCAATATTCTCATATTGTGGTAAAATGAGAATCTACATAAAGAAGAAAATAGGTTTCATAAAATCATTGATGCAATTCAGGAGACTAATTCCAGGAAGTTAATTAGGTGAAAGGAGTTTAGGGTTTCAGGGGAAAGGAATAATGGCAAGACTTAGTGGAGAACATTAAAACACTTAATATGTAAATACAACATCCAGGGTTATTACTGAGTAGATGACATAAACTTCAACAACTTAAAAATCATAACAAAATGGAAAGACATGCAAGCAGAAACTTTTATACATCTTTCATGTTATATAATTAATGCTATTTAAAATTCCAATGTGGTATAAGCAAAATATAAACTGAAATGCTGCATATATATGCATATACAAACACAGATACGACACATTGTATGTATATGATATATATTATAATACATATACTTCTTTTCATTTATTTTTTTTCTTTTCTGGACTTTTTCTTTTTCTCTGAATTAGTTAGCCAGTGGTGAACAATCAGTGATTCAGTAATTAAATTTTAGTCTAGTTTGTTTCTTTAAATACAAGTAAAATTAAATGAAGTGACTATAGTTTCTTAGCTTTGGATACCCCAAAACAGGCTAAAGCAAAGTGTACTTATTAATGCTTATGATGTTACAATCTCAGGGCAGCAAAAAGCAAAGGAAAAATAAATTCAGGTATGACAGAAAACAGAGGGTATTAGCCCCAGATATTCAAGAAAATACAACTTATATTCTTGTTACCATATACAGAGTTACCTAGAGAAGTCACTAGAGCTACTATACCTTGGAACTGCTTAAGAAAAGTATGAAAATTACCAGTTGAATCTATTTTGCTTTTGTCCTTCATTACTAGAAGTTGGATCACGGGACATTTCTCCCCCTACATGTCCACATTTCTTACATCTCTCATAACATAGAACCACCACAGTTCAGCTGATTCAGGCCTGCATATAGGTACCACCACAGCCTATGCTTCAATAAAGTTATATGTGATGCTGGAACCAGTCTCTTTACCTGTGGGGAAGAGTGAGCCAACCAGTGAAGGAGGAAAAGCTCCAGAAATGACAGTGGCAGCAGGAACACTTCAGCAAACAAGCACCTTAGGCCTATGAGCTTATGAGGACACTGTGTGAAGAAATACTAACATGGGGAATATCTTCCCTTTGGAAAGGATAAACCACTACCTCCCACATGGCATAAGTGACCCATTATTTTAACTGACTTAGGCCAGCTTGCACCTTTCCCTGGTGAGCTGTTCTGTATGGAGGGATCAGCACTTGGACTTACTGAGGTTGGGTATTCAGAGGTGGGAGTAACTGTATCACACTTAATGACAGAACACCCAGGTTTTGGGGGCTATGCATAGTCTCCGTTCCTGCCACCATAACCATTCTCCTCTTTGGCTCTTTTCAGAAACCCTGAAAATGATGAAGAGAAAAAGCTGCCTGACATTCACAGCACAGACCATCTTGTCCATCTGGCTATTGAGAACCTTAGCTGATGAATATCCTCCAAATGCACTAGTATGCAACAACAAAAAAATTTTCACTTTTAGTACCCTTTCACATAGACCCACCCACATGCTAATTTTCTAGCTTGCTTGTTCCTGATTTTCCAGTCATGTTCTAGCCTATGTCTAAATAGAGACAAGTGATTAACTGGCATTCAGGAATCAAAATATGCCCTTGCTTTGGGCTACTTTTTCCATACAAAGTGGATAAACAAGAGTACCCTTTGCATTTCTGTCACTGGGAAGGATGTCTCTTAAGCACTTTCTTTCAGGGCTATTCCAGTGTTGAAGCAGCAGGCCAGGTGCAGAAGTGTCAAGATATCATGGCAGTCAACCAACCAAGTAGACTGTTTAGTCCTTTCCTTCCTTGGCTATTGCTTAATAGTGAACTTCATCCAAAGAGGCTCACCTGAATGTTGAACTGAGGGAGAAACACTAGTTAATACTACAGCGATAGATGATTTGAGACATTAGACTACCTTCTTCTGTAACTTATGTCAGTCCTTTGCTTTTGCCTGAATCTAGTCTGCAAGAAAGAAGTTCATCTTATAGGGAATTGCTATTGCTCTTATCTGAACTTGTATCATGACGTCCTTCCCATCTAATGTGACTCTTTGACAAGTGTTAGTTCCATGAGACAATGTCATCCTCAGAGCCCTTCTCTATGGATGATTGGGATCAGGGAATGTCTATGAGCCATAAGGACGTAAATGGTTTTCTAGGTATAATGGAGGACAGCCAAAGCCAAGTTTACAGTGTCATCCTAGAGGCTGAGGTGTTAGTGATATTAGGGTAAGAATCAGTAGTAGCTTCAGCTGAAGTTTCATATCCAGCAGGTGATTAAATTTGAGTGGCCATGATGATTTTGGGAGATACAAAAATTGGTTTGGGTCCAAACAGGAAGTCTATGAATATTACTGGTATTGTTGATGGTATTTGCTTCTTGAGATGTCTTAAAGAGTTTAAATAGGGTTGGACATGACAAGGGAAATTATTTTGTATATTTTAATATGAGTCCAATTGTTCTAGAATTTCACAGTTATCATACTCATTTTCTTCAAAACAAACTACTGGGTAGGGAGATTTTGTGTCTTTTACAGCATTCAGAAATTTAAAATAATAAATGTGAAATAACTTTTATACATAAAAGGATATGTGCTACATTAAGGAAAAATAATATATTGCACTTTCTGTGGCTTCTCCATCCTCATGTTTTTATTTTGAGCCAAAGAGTTAATGGATTTGATTCTTGATGAGTGTTTCAATACCAACTGACTGCAACCAACCTATGGTATGGAAAATAATAATTAATAATAATGCTGTGCATGTCTATCATTATTCTTTCTATGATAAAGTGTAAAAGGGCGGTTAGGGCAGTGAATAAGCTTGGTTGCACATGAGATTTTTTTATAGTAGTCTCTAACAAACTTGAACTCAATGATCTAGCTCTACTTCCATCAAAAAATACTTTGTGTTTCGATTTAGAGTCTTTCAGACCAAATATTCTTTCTTTCTAAACATACTTCTTTGCATCTATGATGTCATTTTGTAAAAGTATTGCAAAAGTAATATACTTGCAATTAAAAATGAAGGTCACTTGGGAGGTTTCTGTAAACATTTTCTGTACTTTAGGATACACACATTTTCCTTTCTTACCTGCTGTTTTTTCAAGTTCTTAATTGTGGAAATGTCAGTCAGATGATACTCCTATTTCAGTCTACACATCATTATTATTCTATAATTGCCACCATGGTTATTATCGTAATTATCTTGTCATCGGATGTATAACTAGTCATCACATTTTTTCACACTTTTTCCTGTGATTCAAAGAAATCAAGTTTTTAACTATCTGTTCATAATATTTCAGTTCTTATTCTTCTAGTCCTTGAGAAATTTGTATAGAAGCTTAGACATTAAATTCAAGCTTTATTTCTCCAAAAGCATATAAAGAGAGAGTAAACAATAACAGTTTGAATGCAAAAGGAAAAATATATATAAAGTTATGTTAATGATAGAAACTATATATTGTCTTTATTAGGCATCATAGAATTTCATAAATAATAATAGGTGGATAATTTTTAAAAGAAGGTAAACATAATTAGGAATGAAACAGGTTTCATTTCTCCTTAAGCAAGTAACATGTAATTCAAACTTTTCCAGAAAACACTAGAAGAGGAGTAAAATTCAGAAAAGACCGTGACTTTCTTTGATTTTGTTTTTGTTTTTAGAGAAGAGGTAATTTTTCATACAAAATTATCATATTTAGTACCATGTATATTTGTCTAAGAAATAAGGTGATTCACATGCCAGCTATTTATTTGTCCTTAAGTCATTCTTTAAATTGTGTGGTTTATGTGTGAATGTGTGTGAGACAAAGTAATTAATTTTGTTTTTACTGGGAAACAGAGATCTAGAGATCAAATAGCAGGGTTTTGGCTATCCTACCTTGTAGCAATCGAGAAGAGTTGTATCTTAGAAGCGTTCACACTTCCCTTTGCCTGGGAGTCAAAGTTACATGAAATACAAGGATCATATTCATGGTAACAGTGGAGACCCATAATCTTTTGAAAACTTGCTCAATTTTCTAGCATAGTGAAGAGCCACCAACAGAGGGAAAGTGTTTGTCATACGCTTTGGAAAACCTGGAAGAAGAAAGGGAAGGCAGAAGTTGCTTGCCCTATAGATGCAATTAGAGGGGAAAGCAAGGAATTTTTCCAAGGAGCTAACAATGCTGCCTAAGGAAGAGTCATTCTACCAAAAAAAATTTAAAACCTATCATACCTTAGGAATTATAGGGCATCTTTTAATTGTACCAGTCACAAATGATCTCCTTTTTCTCTATACTTTTTGGCCCTCTTTTACTCTCTTCCATTCTGTCAGAGTGGAAATACTTTTTTTATTTTACAAGTGTGGCGGTGTGGGGGAGATTCAGAGTCTCAGAGAAGAGTGAAAGAATACTACATTACAGTCTTGTCTACTGCAGGCAGCCAGTTCATAGCAGGACCTAGCTCTCGAAGGAGAAAGGTTAAACTTAGCAGTTCACAATTTTTATTTTCTTGATTATCACATTCTGTTTCAGAATTTGGAGAACAGTACTCATACTTGACTGTATAATTTCTTATTAACTGTGAATAGCTAAAAAGATATCTTGAGACTATGAGAACAAGGTGAAAACATTCAGTCCCCATCTGTGCCTGTTAGCAGTGTGCAAGGACTAGGAATTATTACTTTGCTTTTGTGATTTCACAGCATGCTGCTGTGCACACACAAACTCAGAAATGAAGTTAGCTCGCCCTTTCATATTAGCCTGAATTTCGTTCCCATTTCCTCCATCTCCCTAGGACAGTGGTGGCAAACCTAGGACAGACGTGCAAGTGAAGGTATGCAGAGTCCTCTCCACTGTAGCTGAGACAAGTCGTCCCCAAATTGCCCCAGAGTCCCAGCATCAGACGACAGTGCACACTGTGTACTTTATGCTAAATAAAAGGAATTTCCAAAGGAATTTCTAATTTTGTTGTGTTGAGAAATCTCCAAACTAATACCAATAGTGATTGCACTACCTTACATTTCCATCAGTGTAGAAGGAAATTGTGGTATTTACACATAAAGGAATACTACTCTGCCATAAAGAAGGACAAATTTAAGTCGTTTGTAAGAAAATGGATGCACCTTGAGACCATAATGTTACGTGAAATAAATAAGACACACAAGCTTAAATATTACACAACTATACTCACTAAATATAATTTAAAGAGCAAAAGAAAGGAGACCAGAAATAGGGAGATAGATCTTTAGAAAATGGGAAGAGTGTCTTGATCTGAAAGCAGGGAAGGAAGTGAATAGAAAGGGAATAATAAAATTAAGGTAGGTTATGTACATGTAGTTATCCCCCACCATGATTTTAATCAATATGTACTATTAACATGTGCTAAAGAAAAATTTAAATGTGAAAAGAACAACAAAGGGAAGATTTCACGCCATCTATATGTTTAAAATGGGTATTTGGGGGCCTTACCCCTTACCTTATAAGCAAGTTTTGGTAGGTTTATCAAGGATTCCTCAGGACACTTATACATGCCAAACAGCTGAGGACAACTGCATTAGTGGAAAGATGCTTCCGTCAGACTCCAGGGTACACAAATGGAAAGTAATGCTTCTGGAAATATTTCAACAAAGAAAACAACAGCAGAACCCATGTGTTTTGTCCATAATTCTTCAAAAAGGCAATATTTTTTATATATGTTTTATATAAATGATATAAATTGTGGAAAAATCTTTGATAAAGGGACCAAACAAACTCACTGGAAGAACGATAGCCCCTTTAAGAAATGGTGCTGGAAAAATTGGCTTGCCATTTGCCAAAGACTAAAAATAGACCCAAGTCTATCACCATGCACCAAACTCAAGCCAAAATGGGTCACAGATCTCAATATTACAACAGAAACACTAAATCTATTGGAAGAGAAAGTAGGTAAAAGTCTTGAAGAGATAGGGGTAGGTGGAGAGTTCTTGAACAAAAACAAAATCACATGTGAAATACTACAAAGAATCAACAACTGGGATCTCATTCTACTGAAAAATTTCTGCACATCTAAAGAAATCACCTGCAGAGCAAAAAGAAAACCCACAAATTTGGAAAAAATTTTAGCTGACTGTCCTCGGACAAAGGTCTTCTATCTAGAACATACAAAGAATTAAAAAACATCAGCCCCTGCAAATTCAAAGACCCAATCCAAAAAAGGGCAGCTGAGATGAATACACACTTCTCAGATAAAGAAATACAAATGGCAAATAAATACACGAGAAAGTGTTCAGCATCATTAGTCATTTGAGAAATGCAAATTAAAACAACAATGAGATTTCATCTCACCCCAGTAAGAAGGGCTAGCATTAAGAAATCAACCAATAACAAATGCTGGTGAGGCTGTGGAGAAATAGGAACTCTTCTCCACTGCAGGTGGGAATGCAGACTGGTGAAACCACTGTGGAAATCAGTGTGGAGAGTCCTCAGTAAACTAGGTCTAGAGGTCCCATTCAATCCAGCTATTCCTCCTTCTGGGTATTTTAACCCAGAAGGAGAAAAATACTCCTTCTGGGTATTTTTCCAGATGATCTGAAAACATCATATCACGGTGATATATGCGCCCTCATGTTCATAGCAGCCCAATTTGTAATTGCTAAATTGTGGAAGCAACACAAATGTCCATCCACTGAGGAATGGATTAAAAATGCGGTACTTTTATATAATGGAATATTACTCAACTATAAAGAAAGATAGACTCGAGGCTTTCATAGGTAAATGGTCACAACTAGAGACCATACTCATAAGTGAAATAAACCAGACCTCCATGTGTAAGCAACATACTGTCTCACTAGTGTAAGAATCTGAAAGAGTGAATAGAAATTAGGAAGTATGCTAGACATTGTGAAACGAAAAGGAAATGCTCAAAAGAAAAGAGCAACTGGGGTGAGGGAAAAGAGAAAAGAAAGAAGGGGAAATTATGTATGTATATACATACAGGCTAGCTAACATAGTTGTACTACTGACTTCTATCACCTTACTGAAAGGAACAGTTAATGATTACTTATTTGATCAATATTGTATGTCTGTATTTGTTCTCCTGAGAAACCACTTTGAAGATATCAATACGTAATACAGCAACGCTTGTTAATTTCCTACCACTTTGTCGGTAACTCTGTAATGTTTGTATTGTTCTTATGCTATTTCGTAAATGGATGTCTGCTTGTTAATATGTTTTCCTTATTTTATTTTTAAAATAAATTTTTAAAAAGTATATTCAGTTGCTAATAATAAAAATATAAAATAAAATGTTGAAAAAGGTTTTTTCTCTCTCTGTTGCTCTTTTTTTGTATCTTTTTGAGACAGGTTCTCACTATGAAGTTCAGGCTGGCCTTGAGTTCACTTTGTAGCATAGGCTGGTCTCGAACTCCCAAGAATCCTCCTGCCTCAGCCTCCTGAGTGTTGGGATTACAGGAGTGTGCCACCACGCCAGGTTTGTAGCTCTTCTTATTGTGAATCCGTTTTCAGTGTTAACTTTCACCAAGTCAAAGATAATAGCATATACAGTCTCATTCTTCTTGGTCTCCTTAGCAATTCTCTGCTGAGTACAGATAAAATTACTTTCCAGTTAACCATGAGCTACAAAAAGGCAGAGGCAAACACAGAGAAATTAAGTAGCTGTGTTTGCCAGCATGTTAAATATTATCTTACAACTTGATATTTTAAAATTCTAGGTGACTGCAATAACTTATAGAGGCAGTTACTTTTCAATGTCAAATAAGATTATTGCTAAATCATGCAGTTTTAGATCTTCACAGTTCTGTACAATAAATCTGACATGGAGTTCTCTAAATGCAAGCAGAATCATTTGTTGCAGTGTTGGCCATAGCTTTTTCAATTCTGCTGTGTCAAAACAAGTTAAACAATGGTCAAGGAACAACAGATGGGAAAAAACAGCTAGGCACAAAAAAATCAATTAATGTCTTATTTAGTCTCCAATTTTCTACAAGACTCAGTGATTTTGTTGAGTCTCATAGTATCATAGGAAGAGACAGAAATTATGGGTGAAGGTACAGAATGGCACTGCCGGTCCTGTAGGTGGAAGTCAGAACCATTTGTGCTGTGATTCCATGTTTTCTCTTTACTGAGAAAGTGCTGAGCAGAGGACAGACTGGTGGTAACCAGTGCTTATCACAGGGATATAATACAATGGCTCACTATCCAAGAGTCAGAAAAATCAAGAGCAAATCATGCGTGTGTTTCTTTTAAAATATTTTATGTTTAATCTGATTATAAGCACAACATTGCTTTTAAATTGTGCCTAGAACATATTTAGTAAAATAAAGGTCCACAAAGATTGAGATCTTAAATCCCAATATCAAAAGGACACTTTGTATTTTTAAGCTGATCTTAGTACTACTGCTACTAATAAGTTATATAAGAAATTTAGACATTACATAGCGATATCAAAAGCTTTGAAAAATACAGAAAGCTTAAAAACTAATAAATCCAAGTCAAGAGAAAGCTATATGATATTGCATAAGAAAGGATGGAATGGTGTAAGATTAAAACAAAAATTCTGAATGTAGGCATCATCTATGAAAAGCAATGACCTCAGAAAATACACACTAACATGAAAAATATTCATCATATATTGACATGCATTGTGTAATGTTACACATTGTTACTTTGTATTACATAGCATACATTAACGTTCATATATTAATAAAGTAACAAGGGTAAATTGGTAATATTATGTATTAATATGCACATTGTAGTATGTGATAGATATTTTATAATAGTGCATAATGTAAATTGCATAGTATATAATATTTAACCTTATATACTGTACTGTTTCACAGTAATTTACCACTTGTTGAGACACACTGCCCAATACCCTCAAGTATAAAGAGGAAAATTTTACTTAGGCTCACAGTTTGTAGATGTTTCAGTCCATAACTGGCTGGCTCCAACTCAGGGTAGTGTGGAAAATGGATATGTCAGAGGAGAAAAAGCTAGTAGCAGGGTCTGGAGAAGGAGAGAAATCAAGACAGGAGAGAGCGATACACCCTTCTAAGGCAAGCTCCTAGTGACCATCTCCTCCTTATAGGCTTCACTTTCCAATATCACATTTAGCTAAACACTCATCAGTGGAACAATACATTCATGAGTATTATGCCCCATGACCCAATCCCCTGTGCAAGGCCCATCTATGATTGAATTAGGATTTAGGGGGCATCTAGATATATACCATAACATATTGCTTCTTTTTCATTTTATATGGTGGAGACAATAGACAAAGTTGCCCATACAGAACTCCTCAATTATTTCTGTGCATGTATGTGCATGTGTACTGGAGGCACACATGAGATGAGTCCTATTACTTCTGTGTGGAAGACTTAAAATGATTTTTATTTTACTTTCTCTATCATGCCAGTTTTTGGACAATACATTGCATTGTATCTTCAATGTATTGGTCAGTTTTTCTGTTGGTGGACAGAGTGAATATCTGACACATGGAACGAAAAGGAGGAGAGGTTTATTTGGCATACAGATTCAGGTGTTTCAGACTGTATTCGGCTGGCTTCAAGGCAGATGCATCAAGAAGGAAGGGCACGAAGGAGCAAAGCCGCGTAATTCATTGTGGATGAAATGCGGAGCAGGGGGAAATACCAGGGAGGGAAAGGCCAGGGACCAGATGTAGTATCCAAGTCCTGACTCCAAGACCCACTCAGACAAACCCTGAAGCATGCTTTACACTCTCAAGCCAATCAAGCTGGCAATCCAGCTTGGCTGTCACGTTATACCTTTTATTAACTCTTGATACCCAAATGCATCTCCTTAAGTAATACTTCATGCTCAAGTAAACACGATGTCACAGTACTACTTATCATGATGCCACTATCCTGCGTAAAAGGGAAAATGCCGTAATCCCTTTCCCAAAATCTTGATAGTACCAGGATTGCTGAAAAGTCCAGGTTTAAAATTTTCTCTCGGATTGAAGCCAAAGTCTTATCTGTAAAGCCTTGTAAAATTCAGAAAGCAAATTACACAATGTCAGGGTACAATGGCACAGAGCAAGCTACCCACTGTGAAAGAGAAGAGTGGAGAATAAAGTATAGGACCAAACAAAAGCTGAAATTCAACAGGGTAAATACTTAAATCTCACAACTCCTGTCCGGCATCCAAGACATGGCGGTGATATGTGAGATCCCTAGGGATCTTATGCTTTTGTATGGCAATGACAGAATTCATGGCTTCTTTCTTGGGTGGCTGTGCTCACTGCCTTTGGTCTTTCTCAGCAGATGTTCCATGTTTCCAGTATCTCCAACTTTCTGACATCCTCAGCTTTATTTTCCTCAGCTTCACACATGTGCCTCTCAGGGTCACACTGCCTGGTGTTCTAGGCTTTCCTTTAAAATCGGAGTGGAAGACTCTATGACCTCACAATTCCCACATACTTTATGCCAGGAAAACCAGCTGACTTGGACAATGCCCAAGTTTGCCATCAGCTTGAGCACTAATCAGTTCCCCTAGGAAAATAGCTTCTACTTCCTCGGGATGCCTGGATGAATGAATACAGTGAAAAGAGTCTCCAGGAACTAATTTCCTAGTTAACCCTTCTTAAGCAGTGGCCTCAAAAACTATCTTCTCAAATGAAAGGTTTACATTTTTG